GAGCCATAGGAAGACTGCTTGTAAGACCAAGGTACATTTGGAAAATGTACAATTGACACACCAGCACTGCATCAGTTTAGTAGCAGTTGACCAGTGGGTGCTAATTTTAAGTATGTTCATCATGATATCGTAAATGAAGTGTATAACATTTTCTTTTCTTTCACTCCCTCTCTGACTCAGTCTTTCTTTCTCGCAGGCTATCTTTTTCTCCTTTGTTTCCTCCTCTTGTTTCACTGATTCTTTTTACTCTTTCTAACTAACACTTTTCTCCTCTCTCTCACCATGGTTGATTCACACTATTATTGAGTCCTTTCTCATTGACTTTGGAGTCAATTGCAGTGGTGTTAACACAGAGACTCTTGTCAGGTAATGATGATATATTGTGTAGCTACATGTAACATGTACGTTGTACAATGTCAATGCATGTAGTAATAATTTGGGCAAATTACTTTTTTAAAATTAAGTTTTGGAAATTTATAATTTTTACATTATGTTTTAGCATGCCCACATCTCAAGTTAAGGTTGTACTTTCCAACATGTTCATAGTTAATGCATTTGCATTAAGACACACATGTCAAAAATTTATGTCCCAGTCTACATAGTTATAATATTAGCCATTACACACAGAATAGCATTACATTACTATTATTGCTTAATTTGACTTACCATTACAATTCACTGCTATGTACCTCTCTATCTCTTTATATAGTGTTTCTGTCATGCCCAAGGTTCTACTGTGTCCAGAAATTTGGTTCATCTAAACTGTCTGGAAGCCATTTTACAGTTTGAGTGCTTCAGAATAAGCGAAACTCTGAAAATGTTTTTAAAAATTGTAAACTGACAAATGACAACCAATTTTTTGTTGAATGGTATGCATGAATCTGCTACATTATAATTAAGCGTTTACATCTGTATTTGTGATCATAGGAATAATCCTTGCTAAAGCTACCCCCTGACATACTTAACAGGATTGCTTACTTAATTAAGGCTTGTTTATATTACAGTATTTCCAATCGATGTACATGTATTTAATAGGAGGAAGTAAATATAAAAGTTGAAAACTTTTCTATCAGGCCTCACGCTTTTAGCCTTTTTCTATGTACATGTACATATCCTCACCTTTTGAATCTTCATGAATTCTTAAAGACAGTTACTATACCTGTACAATTGTCGAAGTACGCTTGTTTCTCAGTGTCTTATAATGTCATAATTATTAATTTTAGGTTCAAGACTGCTGACTCAAATGAAAAGTTTAGATACTTCATTGATGTGATGCAACACTTTTCTTTAGAGAAAGCTGTAGTCAACACTTCGGAGGTCACTTTGTACTACAAAGTCGCCAATCTTGTGGATGGTGACAAAAGATCATAGGCGTAGCCAGCCTAAGAAGAGAGGTGAGGCAAAGAAAAAAAGGAAGCAAAATGGCGCGTGAAACGCGCCGTGACTTTGACCACACCCCCTTTTCTCGCCGACATTTACACATATTTTCATGCACAGTACAATAATACTTATGAAATATTATCACATTCATTATGATGATCCTGGTTCAGTTGCCTAGTAGGCTGTTTTGGGTTTGAGGGAAAAAATGAAAGCACTGAAGCTTGTCTTTTGGTTGCCATCTTAAGGCCTTCATACACGAGGCAACTAAGCAACATGTTGCCAAAAACAGAACATTTTTCCATTTCTGGCAACATGTTGCTTACAAGATCAAAGTAACCACAAATTGTTGCTAGCAACAAGTTGCCTCGTGTATAAAGGCCTTTACGTGCCTCAAAGTGGTTAACTGATACTAATTAGTGAGTATAAAAACTCAATTAACAAATCATCATAACAATCAATGACATCATCATTTCAAAATAGTTGACTTCCTCTGTCTATACTGCTGTAGAAGAAAGAATCAAAGGAGTGCCTCTGACTGCCTCAACTTGCATGAGGCTTGATTGGTAAGTAAC